ATAATTAATATGAAATTGGAGAACAAAATTATTTATTTTGGCTTCCATCTTTTGTGGCTTTGCTCTCCAAGATGAGAATGCCTTGTGACCTTAAAACCAACTGCAGTATTTGGTTTTAATTTTAAGACTGTTGTCACAGAGTTGATATAAAGTAAAACTAAAGGTAAATTAATTTGAAAATAACTGGGTACAAAGGAACCCAACATAATAGGAGTCTAAACTCAGTCAAGGAGACAGCAACCACAGAGATGAACATTTATATCTGCTTTTTCTCTGGTATAATACAGAATTTGGATTCTGTGTTTATTTCCTACCAGGCAAGGATTATTTAATAATTAATTATTAGCTTTGAAAAGTACAAGTGAACAGAAAGCAACAACAACAAAAAAATACCATTAAGCAAAAAATTCAGCATTACTTTTCTGTGTTCCAATACGCTTACCCAGTGTTACCGTTTTGTGATCACAGGTTACTTAAGATGCCCTTATAATGCTTATTAAATTAAATTGAATATACCTTTTTGTACTTTACTTGTTCATTCCAAGGTGGCCATATCCATATCTCACTAAAAGGCCATTAAAAGAAAAGAAAAGAAACAAATGAAAATTTGGTATATAAATTTCTTCACGTATAATCCCACTATAGCTATGTTGGATTAAGGCTATGTTTATTTAAACATCAGTCAAATTGGTTATTTTCATAAACTGATTGATAAAAAAATGGATTTTTCTTGGTGTTTCCATGGGTCATTCACCAAGCAACAATACCATCAGGAGTTACTGATCCTCTGAGGATAGCAACTTAATTACACAGAAATTTGAAATTGGGAATAGTGGTATAAGCAGACGTAGAAACTGTCCTGTCTTTGAGTGGTTTATTATTCAATTTAATACTTCAGATGGCCTTTTTTGTTTGTGTAGATTTTAATTACCAAGTGGGTCTGGTAAATTATAAATTACTGTATTATCACACGTGATAACATGTGTACGTTATGAGCATTGCAATCTGCAGGTGTAACATACATAAAGCAAAATTAATAGTATCAAGCAATTAAACTGAAGCTATCTTTAAAGGGAAAGGAAAGGTTTAATACTATACTTAAATGTAACTTAAACTCCTGCTAAATATTTTTAACTGCAATAAAAGCATGTTAATTTTACGAGTGACTTCTTCGTAAGACCTCATTTCTTGGAGTAAGTTTTCTTTTCAAAGAATACAAAAGCTTACTGAAATAATTTCTGTTAAATTCCATAAAGAACTGAATTTTTTCTTGGCATTTAAGCTCAATGAAGAAAGCCTAAAATAGCACAGGAAATTTTGTGTGTGGTAAATATATGTATGAACTAAATTCAGTTGGGATAAAAATGATTAAATTATTGAGAAGGTCATTGTTGGTCCCAAAGCATTCCCTTAGTCATATGATACTTAAATATTTTGAGAATTAGGCCTTAATTTTCCTATAATCACATATAAAATTGAAGAAACTGTATTTTGCTTTAATTTAATATACTTGTATATACAACTTACTAACAGTCTTATGTAAAAGAAACACGCTGGGCATCTAATAATAAATTTTTTTCTTATGTGTTTCTGGCCTTTTTCCATTTACTACATTATTTTTATGCTGTCACTAACAAGAACAATACCTGTATTTCCAATTTAGCTAAACCTTTGCTTCTCAGAAGCATACAGTAAGTTTAACAGGACCTTGGTAGATACATAGAGCACTTAGCAAAATGTACAGAGCTCTTTACAAAGAATGTTTTGGATCTCTCTCTCTCTCTCTCTCTCTCTCTCTCTCTCTCTCTCTCTCTCTCTCTCCTCTCTCTCACACACACACACACACACACACACACACACACACACACACACACAAAATTTGGTCCTTGCCCTGGAATTATTTACCAGTGTACTTGGCAAGGTGAAACTTTAAAACTAAAGCAATGTAAAACATTTATAAAGCAGCACATCATAGATTATACATTAAATATAAAAGTACTGAAGACTTACATTCTGTATAGTTTTGAGGATATGTTTTATTCAATGTAGATTACTAGATGTTTGCAGTTCCCACTCCTGATGGTGCTGCAGTAGAAATTGCTGTGTATATCTATCCGTGGGGTCATTTTTGACTAAGCTAAC